ATATCCCCTGCAAGTGCTATAACATCTGAACTAGTAGAACTGCGTAATAGTGTGTACAGTTAGTGGTAGAAAGTGTTCTTGGTAGCATCAGAACTGGAGTCGGTGGGAGCATAGGTAGAAAGCATAAACAAGCAGCGGCTTGTACCAATTCGTGAATCAACCTTGGTCGATGTCGTTAAACGGGCTGCATATAAATGGCTGTTCACTAGAATGCAGACAACCAACGATGACTCAGCCTTCGAGCTTATTACATAACGTCCGATTGTAACTGAATCCACTCCGAACGGGAAGCAAGAACACAACCGTGCCGGACGAGCTGTACTGAAAAACTGACAAAACGGAGCAAACGATCAATAGACCAACCACATGAGAGGACATAGTCATGAGTGGTGAGCGGTCTAGGTCTGAACGACTATCGCGCGTGTGTTCAACACAATCACGTGACCAGACAGTCACGAATGTTAAACCATCTAGCTTTGAGCGGCTGTGAGGCGCAAGCCCATCTAACAGAGCTGAGTACGATACCTACCACAGCTTAACCAGAGGCTGCCGCATTAGTGTCTCCGGATGCGTGAAACCAATAGTAAGAAAACAAGCCGGGCGCAGTTAAGACAAGAACACAAAGAGGGGCATTGATCCCAGTTTCGGATCCGCAACGTACGTCATTACCCAGTGTGTCTAACGTGCGTGCGAGCGCAACCTGTTGACCAATTTGTCTTATAAGGGACTGTTGCCGATAGGCTTCCAGTGGATGGTGCGGGAAGGTAGTTACAAGTGATTCTAATACAGTGGTACTTCGGTTGCTGTCAATTAAACTGGGAATTATGGAGGAAAAATTAGTAATGGGGGCTGGGAGGGGAGTAAGAGAAACGGGTGGAAAAGGGAGGCGCCAGCAGCAGCATGTTTCCGCTTATCCGTTCTGCTGTATGCAGCAGATAAGGCGACTCTTGATAATCTGCGCGATGACCAATGCAGCATGTAGTTGAATTCTGAGGAAACTGCCAAGGTTGTATGTGGGCTGATAATACCAGGGCGCCCAGAACTAGACAGGAGGACGATTAGGGTCCGCAACCAAAGCCTTTGGCTCAAAAGCCAGAGGGGCGTCCGCCAAAACACATCTGCAGGTCAGCACATACAAGTGCATGGTCACTGTCCACAAATATGCTAAAATAGAGGGACAGTTTTGTACGCAGCATCTCCAGCGGTAACTGATCGCAATGTGATCGACTTGCGTCCATGGCTGGTGGGCGCTATGTCACCTTCCGACTGGTGCTGTGTCAGAAGTTGGGGCTCCCAAGAAATAAGCGAGCATTTGCACATAAGTGAAGTAACTGCTCACTGTTATCATTACGGGAGCCTACACCGTGTTGGCTGCCCAGATGAAGCTCATTAGTGGATAACTTTATAACTTGAGAGTTCAGATCTCCAGTCAGAACTACAGTGTCCATGCTTCTGTGGTCAAGAAGCTCTTCCAGTTGGCGATAGAAGTCGTCTTTTACCTAATAAGCTCTAGAGTTTGTGGGCCCGTAGGCAGTGATGACGAATAGACACCTGTTAGTCCTGCGCGACTTCGAAGCTTTAAATTAGCCACCCAATCGGGCCGCACACATCCGGCTACTGATTAGGATCCAATCAACCAGAGCAGCTTCAGCTCGGAGACTCAGGGCAATACAGCATCAGCTTAGCCGGTACTCGAAGCTGCATCGTCGCAATGAGAAAGTGCTGCCAGTGTCAAGTAAAGGGGATGGCAAAGTGAGCACAGAACTAGAGTCTTGCAGGCGGCTCTCCGATAAGCAGCGGATATCGGTCGATAGGGTCTCTAACGTTCGGGCAAGTGCTGCCTGTTGACTGATCTGTAGCAGTGTGAGTAAACTGAGGCATGCCAATCTGAAGGAGGATCGAGGGCTCCAAATGGAAGCCGATGAACTGGAATGGACCGCTTTCTTGGGCATGGACTTGTCGACAGGGTAGGGATGACGCCCCACGTTCGCATGTGAGATGTAACTACAAAATAAACGCTTATCAAAGCAAGGAGGGGAAAGCCAATAATTGGAGGATTGAAAACAGGGGAGATTAAATTGTGGTTGGAACGGGACAATAACGGTGAAAAGCATGAGGGAGAATAAGAAGACGGGAAGGCTTGAGCAGCAGCATGCAAACACCTATCACCCTGTACGATGTAGCAGATAGGGCACCGCTGAGTATCATCTGAGGCGACCAGAGCATCGGGAAATTGTTTAAGGAAAAATTCATAGTATTGCGTGGACAGGATACTGTCAGGTTGCCTTGGCCTAGGGTTCTCAACCAAAGCATTTGTTTCAAAAACCAGACAGCAAGGCAGCGGGTTTGGCACTGAGCAGCAAAGAATCCGTTTAAAGGAATAAAGAGCCATCCTCATTCCAACCGCCAACCAGGACGACCAGGAGGCTGAGTTTATCTGGCCTCTAACCATTGAGTGGCTCTGAGGGTGCAAGAAAGCACCACCCAGCGTAGCTCAATGGATCTCTGAGGCACGGAAACCATCGCACCACGGTAAGGTCCAGACTCATAACGATGATCAAAGAGTTGAAATCACCTCAGAATTGCAGGCCGAAGGGGCCAAGTCTCACTCGCATAGAGTAGGACGACCCTCACTGTGGCCTTGTTAACACGGCCTTTCAAACGGAGGGAAACACCTTTCTGTCGCCAAAGATGTCGCTAATTCAAAAAGACAGTTCAGCTTTTGCAGTACGCGAAGTGACTTCAGTTGCTATGCGCCCAGAGCTGTCGACACAGTTGCCAAGGTAAGTGAACTGATAAACTATCTCGAGTTCCTCGCTATCTAAAGTCAAAAGTGCATCAAGTGGCTGGTGGTCCTGCAGCATCATTTTGCACTTTGAAGGTGCGAAGCGCAAGTCAAAGAATGGGACCACTCTGGAGATATAGTTCGTATAATCAAGATCAATTAGCTTCTCCCAAGGCAGCACCTTAACGCTTGCATCGTGAGATTCCAAAAGGGAACACTCCGTGATTGAGTCAACGACAAAATTGAAGAAAAATGGGAAAACTGAACAACTCTGACGAAGGCCACTTGTGGTCGGAAAGCTCCACGACATGTCCCCGTAGACCGTGACGCGGCCTGCAGTGTTCGAGTATAGAGTACATAAAGTGTTCACATATATCATGGGAATACCTTTCCGCGCAAGTATTTCGAACAGAATACATCGATCGATTAAATCGAACGCACTCTTGAAAACTAGGAACACAGCTATTGTCGGTCTGCGGTATGTGTGGCGCTGCTCTAGCACCTGCCGCAGTGAATATATGGTCTATACAGCCACGTCCTGGGCGGAAACTAGCGTGCTCTTCTCTAATCCGAGATTCCCGTTCCGCAGTGAGGTGACGAACGAGAATCGTGGTCAGTAATTTTGTCACCACTGGTAATAGGCTAATATCTTTGTGGTTAGAACAGTCTGTGCCACTACGCTTCCTGTGTATTGCCACTATAATCGATTCACTCCAGTTAGTCGGGACACTCTCCTCCTTCCAGATATGTTCGAATAGGGAGGTCAGTGCTTTGAAGCGGATATCATCACCATTCTCAAACAGTGCAGGTGGGAAGGAATCCGGGCCAGCGACAAGAAAATGATTGAGGGCTACGATCGCGTTTCGGACCTCGGCCTCCGACAGAGGCTCTAAACTAACCATCCAATGCTCGTCCTGCATCATCTGAGTAGGAAGAGGTCCGGGAGCAAGGGACCAGCTGAACTGATCTAGAAAGTGTTTCGCCCAACGAGCAATACGGCGCTCTTTATTGTGTATCAGTGCACCCGTGCTATCTCTGGTGTTCTCAATGACGCCTGATTTCCTGAGACCGGTGGTGCGGATTAGGTGGAAGAGCTTGCGGTAATTGCCTACTCCTCCTGCCTAATCCATTGCTTGAGCCCTACTGGTCCACCAGACTCCCTTGTTAGCAAGTAAGTTCCGCTTTAGTTCGCGCCTAATAGCGCGTCTAGTCACATTGTGTTCAGAGCCAGCCAGGAGGTGTGTTCTAGATACCAACAGGTTCACCGACCTCTCGGATATCCAGTGACTAGTGCGGTGACGATGGATAGTGCCACAAGCAGATGCTCCTGCGTCGTGCATGGCGGCCGAGATCCTATTCCACTGAAGCTCAGTGTCATTAGAACAAGACAGTTCGGTATGCAGTGTGTGTTGATAGGCTTGCCTGATCGAGGACTGAGACAATTTCTCAGTTGCCGATCGGAGAGGACGATTGGTGCGCCTCCCAGTAAGTTTCATGGAAAAAAGACAGCGTACCAAGGCATAATCAGTCGACGCAGGTTTTCCAGTACGAGCGGCAATCCAGGATGGAACCACGCCATCTGTAACTTATGGCTATGTGGTCAATTTGGGTCTATCGCTGGCCAGCTACAGGTGGACGCCAAGTGGCACTTCGGCGCCCACTGTATCTAGAAGTAGTGCTACTAAGAAACAACCGGTGCTCAGCCCACAGTTGCTGCTATCAGTCCGTTCGGAGTGAAGCCCATAATTACCATCCAGCTGAGCTTCTGAAGAGCTCAGACGCCCTACTTGTGCGTTCATATCCCCTGCAAGTGCTATAACATCTGAACTAGTAGAACTGCGTAATAGTGTGTACAGTTAGTGGTAGAAAGTGTTCTTGGTAGCATCAGAACTGGAGTCGGTGGGAGCATAGGTAGAAAGCATAAACAAGCAGCGGCTTGTACCAATTCGTGAATCAACCTTGGTCGATGTCGTTAAACGGGCTGCATATAAATGGCTGTTCACTAGAATGCAGACAACCAACGATGACTCAGCCTTCGAGCTTATTACATAACGTCTGATTGTAACTGAATCCACTCCGAACGGGAAGCAAGAACACAACCGTGCCGGACGAGCTGTACTGAAAAACTGACAAAACGGAGCAAACGATCAATAGACCAACCACATGAGAGGACATAGTCATGAGTGGTGAGCGGTCAAGGTCTGAACGACTATCGTGCGTGCGTTCAACACAATCACGTGACCAGACAGTCACGAATGTCAAACTATCTAGCTTTGAGCGGCTGTAAGGCTCAAGCCCGTCTAACAGAGCTGAGCACGATACCTACCTCAGCTTGATCAAAGGCTGCTGCATCAGTGTCTCCGGATGCGTGAAAGCAATAGTAAGAAAACAAGCCGGGCGCAGTTAGGACAAGAACACAAAGAGGGGCATTGATCCCAGTTTCGGATACGCAACGCACGTCATTACCCAGTGTGTCTAACGTGCGTGCGAGCGCAGCCTGTTGACCTATTTGTCTTATAAGGGACTGTTGCCGATAGGCGTCCAGTAGATGGTACGGGAAGGTAGCTACAGGTGATTCTACTCCAGTGGCACTTCGGTTGCTGTCAAGTAAGCTGGGAACTATAGAGGGAAAATTAGTAATGGGGCTGGAAGGGGAGTAAGAGAAACAGATGGAAAAGAAGGGAGGCGCCAGGAGTAGCATGTTTCCGCTTGTCCGCTCTGCTGTATGCAGCAGATAAGGCGACTCTTGATAATCTGAGCGACGACCAATGCAGCATGTAGTTGAATTCTGAGGAAACTGTCAAGGTTGTATGTGGGCTGATAATACCAGGGCGCCCAGAACTAGACAGGAGGACGATTAGGGTCCGCAACCAAAGCCTTTGGCTCAAAAGCCAGAGGGGAGATGACAATGATTTAGTTTTAAAGGAATGGACGCCATCTCATTTCAAACCAGTACTCTGGATGACCAGGAGACTGTATTTGTCTGACTTCTAATTATTGACCAACCTCGTAGGTGTAGCTCTCAAGGGGCGCGGGGGCACCACCCAGTATAGATCAATGGGCCAAAGAGATACGCAAACGGTCGCACCACGTTGAGGTCCAGTCTTGTTGCGACAGAGGCGCCATATAGCTGCGCTACTTTGCACATGTATTCGTAGTTTAGGTAATAAAATCTATTACCGAAAATTGTCCAATTCACTGACCACTCACGGAGGATTAGTCGCTGATGGCTAATCAATAGGGATTATGTAGTCAGTTACATGTTTTGATAGAGATGATTTGGGAATTAATTTGTTTGACGACTGATTGATGACCCAATCCTCATACTTACATTTATCCCCCGTAAAGTTCTATCTTACCTCTTGAGGGTAATTACCCCACGTTGAAAACCACTGAACTGGGTGAATAGGAGCACAAATAGAATAGTTGAGGTGAGCCAACCGTACTGAGCATGGGACGTCAGTTGCAATATCCGAGAGGGATGGAGGCATGTGGCGTAATATAAGTAGAGAGGAGATTTTCGGAATGAGCTCAGCGCTGATCAGAGACCCATTTGCGAATATCGTCACATATGCTTGAAATGGGAAAAGAGCTAAGAAAAAGGAATTGACCATTCACGGAGGTAGTGACATGAGTACGGTGTATAGGACAGTGAAAGAATGAAGCTATTAAGACCGGTCTGTTGTTACGACCTAACGGATAAAAAGGATATGAAATGAGCTACCTCATAGACCTCCAAGTGAACAACACCAGTGCCCATAGTGCCTTGCAGATGAAACTTCATGGCCATGTGGAGGCGGCCTTGGGCATCTTTCCAAGAGGAATGTCTAAAAACGGAGGAAATGGACGAGTAAATAAATAAATAAACATATACGTATATCAGTAGCGGAATTCAGGTAATTTATAGAGAGAAGATTCATGGAAGATTGCATCGATTCTGGCAGAAAGAGAAACGAAAACGCCGAACTTGAAATGAACTTAAGCCTGGACAAATGTCTTCATAGATCCGAATAACAACAACAACAACAACAGCAGTACATCAGCCATTTGAACTGATGCTTCGCTGCCATACAACCATGAGGACCTATGAAATAAAGAATAAGAAGAGGGAGAGAAAGGGGGACTTACCTGAAAACCTTAATGCCCTAAGCAAACATTCAGGGTCAAGACGCCTACACCTTGTGCAGACAACATTCCGTCGCAAACAGCTGGCTATCGTGCAAAGATAAGGCGGCATCGGCGAGACAGCTTCCTTGCGGCTTTCACTGCCACGCGTCATAATCAGCCATTATCCCGCAGATAACTCAGCACCAAACACACTTTGAACAGGCAATCCGATTAGGAGACGGCAGCAGACGCGCTGTAGCGATCTGGAGATTCCCCCGTATGACTGTGTAAACTATTCTAAAATATTCAAATTATAGATTTCTTATGTATTGGGGAACTATTCGGTTTGCCTGTTGGAACGTTATTCCCGTTTGTTGGAAACACGAAAACGATCTCCGCATTTGGCGCGAGACTCGACTGCAAACGACGCTCTGTCAACGCACTCGACGCCAACGACATTCTCCATAGCTAGCTCTCTCCGGGTGCCCTATTTTTAGCATTAGCTAACGCTCCTCCCGTCCAAAAAACTTTTCCCTAGCTTACACTTGTGCCGTCTACCCATTGCTTTTGATTGACCGTCTAGTCGCGTACCGGATATACAGCGCACGATCAACGCGCTATAGCGCCAGTGGTGTCGGTTGCGAGCCAAGTCCTGCAAAGTCTTGAGCCAAGCACAAGGCGAGTCACGTGGACTCCAGCTCGGAAGGCGAGACGGACCAACGGCACCCAGTTTGGTCGTCAGTGACTTCATTTCCCGCTGTCAAGTCAATTTCTGTCCACCTCGAGCCTTGCGCCATCCTACACCTGGTAGACTGAACAAGGCCCTCCTAGGTAAGCGGTGACCAGGCATGCGTAGCACGTACCCGAGCTAACGCAACTTATTCAGTGCTATCTGTTGATCTAGGGATAACGAAAAAACGTGTCAGCTGTACGCCGTAACGGCGCTTCGCTGCCGCGCGACCACCACCAGTCGCGCGCGGGCTGAGTATACCACGAGGACGCCCACCCCTACGCGGATTCGAACCGGTGACCTTATGGTTACAAACCAAACGTGCAGACCACTCGGCCACCTGCCGACTTGTTCCAGGGAGCTAGCATGATTATCACTACCTAGTACTCGCCTACGCACATCATCGTTGCGGACACGCCGGTGCCATCCGACTCCAGCAATGCTTCGTAAACAATGATGATCAAAGACTTGAAGGCGCCTCAGATCTTCAGACCGAAGGGACCAAGTCTCACTAACATAGAGCAGAACTGCCCTCACTGTGGCCTTATATACACGGCCTTTCAGACGGAGGGAAATTCCCTTCTGTCGCCAAAGATGCCGCAGGTTCAAGAAGGCAGCTCTGGTCTTTGCAATGCGTGAACTCACGTCAGTTTCTATGCGCCCATCATTGCTGATACAGCTACCAAGATAAGTGAATTGATCAACCATCTCGAGTGCCTCGTTAGCAAGCGTCAAGGGGTCATCAAGTGGATGGTGGTCCTGCAGCAACACTTTGCACTTTGGAGGTGCGAAGTGCATACCAAATAATGGGACCACTCTGGACAGGTTATTCAGGGTTGATTGTGCCGCCCCAACATCGTCGAAAAGCAAGACGATATCGTCCGCAGCACTTCAACGCCTACATCGTTGGATTCCATCAGGGAACACTCCATGATAGAATCCACGACGAACTTGAACAAAAATGGGGAAATCGGACACCCTTGACGAACGCCACTTGTAGTCGAAAAGCTATCCGATAGGGCACCATAGACCCTGACGCGGCCTGTAGTGTTCGAGTATAAAGCACGAAGGATGTTCACATATTTCGTAGGAACACCTTTTCGCGCAAGTATTTCGAACAGAATCGATCGATCAACTGAATGGAACGTACTCTCGAAATCGAGGAACACAGCTACTGTCGGTCTGTGGTATGCGTGGCGCTGGTCTAGCACTTGCCACAAAGTGAATATATGGTCTATACAGCCAAGTCCTGGGCGAAAGCCGGCCTGCTCTTCCCTAATCCGAGATTCCCGTTCCGCAGTGAGGTGACGAACGATAATCGAGGCCAGTAATTTTGTCACAACTGGCGTTAGGCTAATACCCCTGTGGTTAGAACAGTCTGTGCGACTGCCCTTCTTGTATATTGCCACTATAATCGATTCACTCCAACTAGACGGGACACTCTTCCTTCCAGATACGTTCGAATAAGGAGGTCAGTGCCCTGCAGAGGACCTCACCTCCATCCTTAAATAGCGCAGGTGGGAAGGAATCCGGGCCAGCGGCACGAAAACGATTGAGGGCTGTGATCGCGTTTCGCACCTCGGCCTCCGACAGAGGCTCTAAACTAACCGTCCATGGCTCGTCCTGCATCACCTGAATAGGAAGACATCCGGGAAAAGTAGGCCAGCTGAACTGATCTTGAAAATGTTCCGCCCAACGAGCCTTACGACGCTCCTTATTGTGTATCAGCGCACCCGCGCTGTCCCTGATTGTCTCACTGATGCCTGGTTTTCTGGGACCAGTGGTGAGGATTAACTGGAAGAGCTTGCGGTAATTGACTACTGCTCTTGCCTCCTCCATTTCTTGAGCCCTACTGGTCCACCAGGCTTCCTTGGCAGCACGTAGGCTCTGCTTTAGTTCACGCCTAATAGCCCGTCTGGTCACATTGTGCGCAGAGCCAGCCAGGTGTGTTCTAGATACCAACAGGTTCACCGACCTCTCGGATATCCAGTGACGATGGATAGTGCCATAAGCAGATGCTCCTGCGTCGTCCATGGCGGCCGAGATCCTATTCCACTGAAGCTCAGTGTCATTAGGACAAGAATGCGAGAGTTCGGTATGCAGTGCGTCCTGATAGGTTTGCCTGACCGAGGGCTGAGACAATTTCTCCGTTGCCAATCGGAGGAGACGCTTAATGTGCCTCCCAGTAAAGTTCATGGAGAAACGACAGCGCACTAAGGCATGATCAGAGTCGACACAGGTACTCCAGTACGAGCGGCAATCCAGGATGGAACCACGCCATCTGTAACTTATGGCTATGTGGTCAATTTGGGTCTATCGCTGGCCAGCTACAGGTGGACGCCAAGTGGCACTTCGGCGCGCACTGTGTCTAAAAGCAGTGCTACTAAGAAACAACTGGTGCTCCGCACACAGTTGCAGCAGACGCTCATCGTTGTTAGTCCGTTCGGAATTAAGCACATAATTACCACTCAGCTGAGCTTTTGAAGAGTTCAGACGCCCTACTTGTGCGTTCATATCCCCTGCAAGTACTATAATATCTGAACTAGTAGCACTGCGTAGTAGGGCGTTCAGTTCGTGATAGATAGTGTCCTTGACTACTTTAGAACTGCAGTCGGTGGGAGCATAAACAGAAATCACCAACAGCGTTTCATATTACTTCATGAATCCACCTTAGCTGATGTCGTCAAACGGGCTGCACATAAACGGCTGTTCACCGGAATCCAATCAACCAACGATGACTCAGTCTTGGAGCTGAGAATGATACCTACACCAGCTTGACCCGTGAGTGCTGCATCAGCGTCTCCGGATGCGTGCAGTTAATTCAACAACCCCGTTGTGGTCATTGATCCTAGCTTCGGACACACAACACACATCAATACCTAGTGTGTCCAAGGTGCGTGCGAGTGCAGCCTGTTGACCTGTTTGTCCTAGAGTGAGGACGTTGAATGTCGCCATGGAAACGGGACAGCGTGGCTTTATAAGGGACTGTTTGCGATAGGCGTCCGAGAGGTGCTGTGGGATGGTGGCTGCAAATGGTTCTACTCCAGTGGCACTTCGGTTGCTGTCAATTAAGCTGGGAATTATAGAAGGAAGGTTAGTAATGGGGGTTGGGATGAAAGTAGGAGAAACAGGTGAAAAAGAAAAAGGGAGACGCCAGCAGTAGCATGTTTTCGCTTATCCGCCCTGCTGTATGCAACAGATAAGGCGAGCCTTGATAATCTGCGCGACGGCCGATGCTGAATGAATATATATTATACACAATCTGTGGCACAGATATTGTGCCATCGGATTCATGGCTGAATAGGAAAACAATATGAATAATAAGAAAAGAGCAACAACAAATGCTTTTTTGTCTATCTTACCACTCACAGTTTTTGAATTTGTTTTCAGTTTGTTCTTTTTTAGGGGGAGGAAGAAGGGACACCGCAACAAACCGATGCACACGTCCGCCACTGACATCGATCTTGAGCCATAACTTCCAAGTTCTTCAACCAGCAAGTATCCACATCTCTCGGACCCCAACCAGGTAGTCGACAACAACCGGCCGAGGCCAACTGTTTCGTCAACTTTTTCATGCGGCTTCTCCATGTTGTAGGCTGTCCACCAGACCGTCTCTTCCAGCCCTGTCCAGCAAGTGCAAACAACGCACGACGGGGGTAACGCTGGACAGGCATGCGCAATAAGTGTCCCAACCACCGCAGTTGATGCAGTGAGACGAGCTCCTCGAGCGAGTGGCTTCTACGTCCCAAGACACGCTGTCTAACTTCAACCTTGCTTACCTGGTGTTGCCACCACACACGGGTAATGGACCGCAGACAGCAGTGCTCGAAGACGGATAGCCTGTGCAAGTCATCTTTACGAATGGGCCAGGTTTCGCATCCGTACAACAGTAAAGCACGAACAGTTGCACAATGGACGCGCCCTTTGATGGAGAGACGAATGTCGTGGCGACGCCACAAATTCCTCAGCCTAGAAAAAGCGAGGCCTGGT